CACCCAGAGAGAGATAGGCAATCTTCATTGTGAGGAATAGGTGAGTGGAGCTGAAAGCTATTGTGTTTGTTAACAAAATGCACTACGCTAAAAAGCTAGTGTAAAGATCTTTCAGTGTTTGAGTTTGAGAAGAATGAAGTTATGAGAGGTTTAGAAAGCTATGAAAAACTATCAACGAGAGAGATCCACAATCAAAGGATCGTAGTCTGAACTCCCGCGGAGACTGTAAAGTGTGATAAGTAGGTTGCGGTAGAATCCTACTCACTCCACGATCCAAAAACGGAAGCGTGGAAGATTCGATAGCATTTATCTAGACGGGAATCTCTCCACGCCAATAAATACTCTAGCGCGATGTTTCACCATCAGACCTAGTATGACCTAGCGTCATGAGAACTGTCTCAATGACTATTCACGAAAGACTCAGTCATAAGCTCATGAGTCGAACTCAAACCCTATCTAGGATCGAGTCGCGAATAAGGCTAAGAGCCGTGTATTGCACAAGGAGAAAAGGCAAAAAGAGTTGGCTGATAAGGAAACGGCTTTGTGAGCCGCCGCAAAGAAACAACAAGAAGCTGAACAGCTTGCACAAGCCAGGAAGAAAGAACAAGAACAGCTCGAAAAAGAAGCTGAGGAAGGCCCAACGACAGAGCCAGTGACAAAGAAAGCAAAGCGATCGGATACATCTCTGCTTGATGCAGAGACACCACGTCAGAAGGCCGCGAGGCTGGGCATTCACTCAGAGCCGCCTAGGAAGAATGGATCCACCATGGACAAACCGGGAACCGATTGGATTGAAGAGGCAAAGAAGAAGCTGGCTTCCTTTCGGACTATCTGCATGCTGCTGAAGGATCGACATCTGCTCCCACAGCCAATGTTGTTCACCATGGTCATGGAATTCATTGGATCGGACTCCTTGCGGCCGGCCCTTGACTTTAATGGTCGTGTTTTCATATACATGGTTGGGCTAGTGATAAGCCAGAAAAGGTATGTGCCTTCCATCAAATCTTGTGGTTGTATCGGGTACAAAATCTCACCCTTATGTGTTGCAGTCTGTTTGGTGACATTATTCAAATCTTGGTGTCCTTTCATTCCAGTGGCTTGGTCACGCCTGACAACTTTGCCACTGCCATAAAACAGAATTCAGAAAGTCATCAAGGATTACGATGACAAAAACTTGGTCGCGGCCACGATCAAGTCGATTTCAGCAAAGTTGTTGGAACCAGAACTTAAACACGAAGGAAAAATCCCAACAAACAAGAAAGATCTCATGACAATATGCAGCAAAAATGTGGCATCATTGCTGATGTCCCATGTCTTCGGCTCCACTGAGTTGGTTGTGGGCCTCCATGCTCGGAAGATCTTAGTTGCTCTTGATATGTACGACTGGGAGGAATCCGGAATGACCCAAAAGGCTGATGTGAAGATGGCGAACATTCCTGCATCTATGGTCAAAAAGAGTCTCAAGACTTGGCTGCCCAAAGGTGAATCACATGATTTTTTTGACATGATGGATACACTGGGTAGTCTCTTTCCTACAAAGGCAGGAGTGTGGGGCAAGATTACTAAACCCATCAATGCACACTTCTCCCCCAAAGAGAAAGAAATGGCCATTGGGATGGTGACGACTATTAGTCAATCCTACAAAGCAACCAAGGTCGGAGGAAGAGAAACTCGGAGATGTGCCGCATGAGACTCATGCACCCCACTGGTACACTTTCTACAGAGAAGTCGTGTAGGAAAAAGTGTGCAACCAGCTACTGTATACAAGCGGCTGTACTCTTAACGATTACACAAATAATATTGGCTTATTCACGACGACGCAAACCTTTTTTTGTTGACTGCCGCGTTTCTGGCTCCTTCCCTCTTCTGTTCGTTCCCTTTGGCCCTCGCCAATGTTCTACTCTGGATGGTGGGTTTGAACAGAGCCACACGGTCTTCTTCCGCCCTGAGATGCCCTCCCTTGACTGCTGCCTTTGTCCTTATGGACGTACCACCAGCGTCTTTGGTCGACTCTTCAGCCGCAAACCATTCCTCACTCTTCTGCTCAGCGTTCTTGCGCGGTTCCTCGGGTTCAAGCTGCAGTTGGGTTTATCGCTCATCTGCTCTCTGTGACTCGATCACGATGTAGTTGACCACAATCTCCTCTGGTGACATCTTCTGCGTATTATGTTTCTGGTTGGCCATGTGGTGAGCATAGCTCCACATCTCAGTGCAGAGCTCCTTCATGCTCATTTCACCACGGCAAACTTCCACTCTCAGAAGCTCACCAACCTGAGCCCAACCAATTTCCGTGAATCCCCATTCATTGACTTGGCCCTTGTCCCTCAGCGGTTGAGCCAGTGCCCACGCTTTCCCTCCTCATCGTCCGTCCCACCAGCTGCATTCATAGTGTCTATCATTTGCTGTTCTATATCCAGTGCTGCAGAAGCACAAGTTTAGACAAACAAAAACTAGTTTAGATACTGACAAAACGACACCCCACTAACCAGATGATGACGGACCAGATGATGACGGCTTCATCTTTGCCAGTGCGGCTTCCTTTCCCATAGCTGCATTTTACTCTTCTGTGCCTGTTGGGGTCGCCCGACCTTGCGCGAAGCTTGCGCCTGGGGAAGCTCAACACCCACCCTAAAGCCCAAGAATTCTTCCAACTCGCTTGCTTCTTCGGCCATGCCATCCGCCTCCCACTTGCAAGGCAACAAAATATAATCAAAAGAAAGCACCTCATCCGTCCCAGCCTCTCTAGACACCAGAGACGCTTTCAGTTCCCCGACATAAGACACCCTTGAAAAGTCCAAGACATAGGTCGTCCACTTGCGAGCCTCAGCCACAGCAGATTCCATGGGATCCACAGAGCCACCCGTAGTAGAAGGAGTGAGGAATGCGACACTGTGATTGATAGATTTCATGATGCTTTCTGGGAGTTGATCGTCAAGGGCTTTGTAAACAGCATCCTGGTGGATCGCGCTTAATGGCATCATGAAGAATGGCAATGAAGGAACCCTGAAATGGATCTGTTTGCGCCCCACCATCTTGGCACTGATCCATTGCACTGTTCCATCCCGCTCATCACAGCGTTGATCCACAGAACACATTATTAAGAACCCCTTTGTCTCCTGCCCTTCTTCCACTGACTCCATGTCTGGCACAGGATAGACCCAAAAGGGTCCATTCCCTTCTGGCTTCTCATTGTCCACTATAATAATGACTGCAGCAAGAGAGACACACAGTTAGTTTCACGGTCAGGGGAGTAAAGACGGACATACGACACACCACTTACTGGCGCCTTTCGGATACTGATCACTCATAATGTAATCGAGAGTCTTTGATGATGACAGAGTAGATTTGGTAGATAGTGGCGATGGGGGATCCTCACTGCCATGCACCACAGCTGGAATGTCAACAGTCTTGATAGGGACTGAGGTCTTCGAACCAACGTTCTTTGTCTATTTTGCAGCGGCAGGCTTGTCAGCCGCTCCTCTTGCAGCAACAGGCTTCACCTTCTCAGTGATGCCCAAATCACGCAGTTGTTGGTTCCAGCTTTCCTTGGATTCGTGAAACTTCTTTCTCCACTTGATAACCTTCTTTCCAATCGCTACTCGAGTAATGTCTCTTCGATTGCCATACAACTCAGGTCGCTTGTCTAGAATGTTGCGGAGTGCTTGTGGAGAGGCTAGATGGAACACGTCGATCCCTTCTTCGTGCTGGATATCAGTGAGCACAGCTTTTAGGACGTTTTTCGGCAGTCTCTTGCGGGCTCCAGATCCAGTTGTGGACACCGAATGGTTGCTGTCAGACTGTTCGCCAAGCTCGTCTTCCTCCTCTCCGAAGTTGAATTCGTCACTGCTGTAGCCCTTGTTATCGTAGTCATCTTCGTCATCAGAAAAGAGAGATTTCTTCCTCGGTGCAGGAGAACCAACCTTGTTCTTGACTTTCCTGCTAGAGCCAGTCACAGACACAACAGCAGGAGACGGCTTTCTGCTACTTCCTCCAGTGCTCTTGCCCCTACCTCGTCTTGCCTCCGGAGTACCAGAATATTCGCTTTTGCTGCTGCGAGTTTTGACCATTGCCAGCGATCTGTAGTAGCCAGCTCCGAGAATAAGCAAGCGACGTGGATTGGTGGATGGCTGCTGGTTAGACTACTTGCTACCGGTACTGGTAGCTATGCTGTAGCTACCGGTACTGTAGCCACACGCATGTGGTAGCCACACGCATGTGGTAGCCACACGCATGCGGCTTTTGGATCTTTGTCGGATCTTTGTCCGATCTTTGGATGACGCACCTCTCTGCCAAGAATGAGGTTCACGAACCCGTTCAGTAATGTTTCCACGTGGAGGGTGTGTAGAAAAATGGGTCATGGGTCAAAGCTTCGATGAACTTGGAATGCTTGATAGGGTGGGGAATACTGGTACTGGTACCGATTACCGTTAACCCTTGAGAGCGAGAAACTGGATCTGTTGGACGCGAGAAACAGAAAACCTCGAGAACCCATGCTACTACTAGTATTGTATATGTACATTTCAACATTTGGGCCAGTGCTGAACCAGACCATGGCAGCCCTTGACAATGACATGATCATGGACGATTCCTCCGATGATGGACTACCGCCAGGTGTGGTATTTTTCACTCCTGATGAGATCCTGATGAAAGGGCTAAAAGTCTTAGGTTGGACCCATAAGTGTCTGGGGCAGAGGATTCGCCAAACTAATGTTGAGCAGTACAAGGGGATGTATGGTGTCGATCCTTCTGTCACTGCCCAGGTGTGGGAAGATCTTCAAACAACAACAGTGGAAGAAGCCCGATTTGATCCAGATCGTATTGACATTGAAAAAGTTCACGGGGCACTGCATTTCCTATATCGCTACCCAACTGAGACTGAGCCATTGGTAGATTCGTCGAATCTCCTGCAAAGTTCAAACGCGTTTGCCAGTAGTGTTGGCCTACCTTCTGCCAACCAGGTCCGTCCTTTGTATACTGACCCAACACAAACATCAAAATCCCTTCTGTCTTTTGCACGCGTTTGCGGACGCCTAGGATCGTTTGGGAATGTAGTTCGTAGCGAATGTATACCAGTCGCCGTTGTTGCATCATCCACTCCCAACAAGCATATGTCAACATTTCACTCCATGGCTTTGCCTTTGCGGGTGGCACTGAGAATACGCTCAGCTGTGATCCTTGGAATTCCGTTTTTCCGTAGGACAGTTCCCTCACTCGGAAGTCCTTTGCGCCGAGGATCATGTCCTGTGGCAGCTGTTCCTTTGTGATGTGTTTTTTCGCTGCATCTACCCACACGCTTGCCTGACTGTTCATATACACCCTGATCGTGATCAATCGTTTCCATCGAATGATCGCTTGCCATGGATCGTCCAGTGGTGCTTGCTTCAGCAACGGAATGTCTCCTACCAGTAGTTTCCATTCTCGATTGAACTGCGCTTGAGCAACCATTTCCGCCACGTACTCCACTTCTTCTTTTGGAATACTGCAGGCTGTTTGTCCGAAGTTTTGCGCTTCTCCAATTGCCTCGTTGACGTTTTGAACGCGCTTTGCTTTGCATGTTAGCATTGCGCCCACTATGATTGTTGTGTCTGGAGTCCAATCTCGGAAGATCATCAATTGGCATGTTCAAGCCAACACTATCATATGGAAACGTGCAAGGTCGAGATTTCCACCTATGTCGGCTGCCGTCAGCTTCAGGACTTGTAGAAACTGTTCGACACTTGTGAATGTTTCCTTGAAGTCCGGGGCTGCATACGCTTCCCACGTGTTCTGGCTAATCCCACGTGCTGCCGCATCTGACACATCTATCCACTCTTTGTCCATTACCAAAGAGTCGTCCTGCTCCCAACCTTCCACTGATCTCATCATCACATCATGTAGATCGTTCAATGGTAGAGGAGTTCTGTTCAGCTTTGCCATGTGCAAGCTCCAACGTCGGTTCAGCTGCTCCTCTAGCACATTTTGGGCTACCTTGAATTTTGTCGTCATTGTCTTCTTCTTCGTTGTCGCTATCACTCAAGCAACTGTAGTAATTGTTGTCTTCGTAGATTGTGGGTTGTTTGCTCCTCGAGTGATTCTCCTGCATGGAAACATCTTTGTTGTGGTCATTTTCTTTTATGCGTGGAGACTGGCATAGAAACAGCGTGGAAGCTCAATGCATTGTGGAGACTCCAGTCTCTAATACTGTGCTGCATAGAACAGTCCACGGCCATGCTCAATGCATCGTGGAGAATTGGAACGCACTTCACCATCGTGGAATTCTATGCTTGTTTAAGGCACAGGTACTGCCAGTTAACTTCTATACTCGATTGCCTGTGACAAAAATATGCACCCACTTTGCACAACTGGATGGATAGCAGGAGGGAAACAGAACGGCAAATATTTTATGTTTTATGTTCTATGTTCGCGCAAGTAATATTTTATATTCGTGCAGCTTGCTTGCGTGGGGGTTGGGGGGTCCTGATCTAGTTAGCTGTACCTCTCCTTGCTTTGAGCTCATTGTACTTCCTTTCTTCCCTGAACTGGTCATAATTCCAACTTTCCATCACCCGCAATCTTGTGATCATATCGTTGCTAATTTTACCAGCCCTGCAGCATTTTACAAGAATGCCATAAGTACAATTCTAGATCTGCGCAATCTAGAATCCCGTTTTCAGGACGCACACTGACTCGTTAATTTGTACTGTTTATCCTATAGTAAAACTGGCTGTTTCGTATCCACCCAAGAGAAAAACAGCCACCATGGCGTCTCTCGGTCCATTCCGTCATCGTTCGCGAGGTAGTAAGGAGAAAGAAGACATGGCATCACGACGCTCGAAGCATGCTGGAACAGGACCGCCGTTGGAAGCAACACCAGCGGATCCGAAACCATCATTATCCGTGCCGGCTAGCCGTGATTTTCAATCGAAATTATCTAACAATGACCATGATCAGACTACATTGGATGGCTTTATTTTCGTTCCCAAAGGCCGCAATATCACCTCCAAGAACAAGATTAACACAATGCAGACTGCCATGGCTCCTTCACGGGATAATACAAATCGCTTCTCCGCATTGGTGGACTCTGATCACTGGCTGCAGCAATTCCTCTTGAAGGATGAGTCTCTACATGATGATGACAATTCAATCTTGACCACGGGCACAACGGGCACAGCGTCGCTGGCCGATGACTCCATTGCGATTACACCACCTAGATCCAACCACAACAGCGCAAGGAAGTCATCAGTAAAGATTCGATCAACAAGAAATCGTAGACCCAAGTCGTCTCCTATCACGGTGCAGCCATTACCACTACCACCAGTCCTAGCCAATCATGGTACCACGCCCGTTGTGTGGGACGGCTCGTCCCACAAAGATGCTCCGAGGCGCAACAAGACACAGGGAAAATCCAGACACAACGACCGATCAACGATGAGCCCACTCAACGCAATCGATCCACCAATCATCAAACCACAGCAACCATTTATTGACAGTCGCGATGAAGCTGCATGGCCCCGGCTGTCTTCTACCAAATCGGAAACAATGCACTCCTCGACAAAGCAACGTCAGTCGCGATTCCTTGAGGCGGCGACAAGAAATGTCACTAAACAGAGCACCGCAAAAGGCTGCACTAGTCATCGAATGAACCTACAGTTGTGCCATCCTTCTTCTACTCTCATGGTGGCTACCTCCTACAAGAGGAAATCCAAATTTCGACTAAAGCAGTCAATCCATCAATTCATCAATGATCGAAAACAACAAACGTCCACTGTCCACGGCGCCACTAGTACAACGGAGGATCAGCAACAACTGGCAACAACGGTGGGCCATATATCGCCTCCCGCGATGAACAACGCCACGGAGACCGCACTCGGCACGACGGCAGAGGAATATCCTACCGATTCGACAGCACCAAATAGCTAGCCGTCATCTATTCCGTTCCATGGAACTGCTGAGGACCCTGTCGACTTGATCACTCCCATTAAGACAATCAAGAACATGCAAGAACTGATCCCAACGACAATGCCTTTGTGGTGTCTCCAGTGTACTAATGAGCCGGCTCTTCCTGTGGAAATCATTGACTCCAAGCATACTAGGCCCCAGCAGACAGATTGCTCGCATCAAACACACTACTGTGAATCCTGTCGACAGTTCATACCGCTCTAGGGACCTAAGGCTCTGGATACCCGCTCAGCTTCACCGCTGACAATGCTCTTATCTCCGACTGGAACTGAAGTGAATGCTGCCATTACTTATCCAACAGAAGATGAAATCAAAACAGGAATTCAGCATCTTCAAGACACAGCACGTAAACAGGAAATGACCGACTCACTTCCTGTCAAGCAAATGGCTCCTCTCTTTGACACTGTTGCTACCAATGACATTCAGCTTCAATCCCACAACTTGCAGGCAATCGCAATCAATTCCAGTGTTGAACATACCGACAGCCTACCCACCACTCAACAGGAAGAAACCACACAACCACCAGATCACACAGCTACCATCAAGCCATGTACCAGTTCTCAACGCTGCTTCTGTCACCAGGTTTCGATCTCTAGACCTCAAGACCCATTGTGTTTCCTCTGCAAGTGGAAGGCCAATCTGCGACAATACCATTGTGGATTGATTAATCTAACGATCTAAGAGATGTAAAGTTTGTATTTCCAAATAAGTGAGCAGAGATTGAATACAGTGGCAGCCAGCTTTGTGGCTGCCCATTCCATTGTTCAGAGGAGTGAGGTTCAAGCAGAGCTCTCACTCCCAGCAGCTTTTGCATTACCTGACTGGATCTCAATCGGATTAACGCCAGACGTTCATCACTGCTCACTTATTTGGAAATACAAACTTTACATCTCTTAGATCGTTAGATTAATCAATCCACAATGGTATTGTCGCAGATTGGCCTTCCACTTGCAGAGGAAACCAATGGGTCTTGAGGTCTAGAGATCGAAACCTGGTGACAGAAGCAGCGTTGAGAACTGGTACATGGCTTGATGGTAGCTGTGTGATCTGGTGGTTGTGTTGTTTCTTCCTGTTGAGTGGTGGGTAGGCTGTCGGTATGTTCAACACTGGAATTGATTGCGATTGCCTG